GATAGGGGGGAGGGATAGATAGATAGATAGTTAGATGGGGGGAGGGATAGATAGATAGATAGATATGGGAGGGATAGATAGATAGATAGATATGGGGGAGGAGATAGATAGATAGATAGATATGGGAGGGATAGATAGATAGATATAATATAGATATAGATAGATAGATAGATAGATATGGGAGGGATAGATAGATAGATAGATAGATAGATAGATGGGAGGATAGATAGATAGATAGATAGATAGATAGATAGATAGATAGAGATAGATAGATAGATAGATATGGAGGGGATAGATAGATATGGGAGGGATAGATAGATAGATTAGATAGATATTGGAGGGGGAGAGATAGATAGATAGATAGATAGATAGATATATGGGAGGGATAGATAGATAGATACTGCGTGTCGCATAGGGCGCCCCATTCACTTGAATGGGTCACCCTATGTGCGTTTGTCGCCCCGTAAAGAAGCTCCTGCTCCTTTTCGGGCAACAAGCTATAATGTAAATTGTGAAGGCGCGGTTTGCAGCGCAATCCTGCCCAGTGAAGAGCGGCGGCGGCGGTTGGAATCACATCGCGTTTGGGATGCACATTGAAGGCTAATGCACACACAGCGCCTTCTGCTGAATCTGCCGCGCACTTCTGGATCGCAGGCGGAATCACAGCGATTCTGATGTAGATCCCAAATCGCGAGATGTGAAGGTATAAAGGGTTTGATCGGGAGAGACAGACGCAGACACGATCGCTCCATAACACACACATCTCTACCACATAGTAATGTGTAGTAATCACACTCCTCTATATATGTATAGATCTGTCATATCACCATGGTAATGAAGTAATCCCCCCCCCCCTAATATATATGATATATACAGTATACCCCCCCCCATGTCACCACACTAATGTATTTGCCCGCCCCCCCCAAATATGTTATATACAGTATTCTTCCCCCCCAACAAAAAAAAAGTATTATGATATATACAGGATATCCCCCCACCCATGTCACCATGGTCATGTATTAATCCCCCCCCCCCCCAAAAAAAAAAAAAAATGATTAAGAAATTATATGCCCCCCCCCTCATATCAACATGGTAATGAAGTAATCACCCCCCATGATATATACAGTATGTCCCCATGTCACCATGGTAATGTAGTATTTACCCTCCTCCCCCCCCCCAAATATTGTTATATACAGTATATCCCCCCACCCATGTCACAATGCCCATGTAGCAATCACCCCCCCCCCCCCCCCCCCCCCCCCCCCGAATATATGATATAGACATTATATGCCACCCCCCATATCACCATGGTAATGTTGTAATCACCCCCCCCCCCCCAAAAAAAAAAAATATATAGTATAGACATTATAAGCTCCCCCCCCATATTACCATGGTAATGTAGTAATCACCCTCCCCCCCCCAAACATATGATATATATAGTATATCCCCCACCATGTCAATGTAATATTTACACCCCCCCCCCCTTAAATGTGATATATAAATTACATCCCCCCCCATGTCAGCATGGTAATGTAATATTTACACTCCCCCTTAAATATGATGATATATAGATTATATCCCCCCCCCCACCATGTCACCATTGTAATGTAATATTTACACCCCCACCTTAAATATGATGAAATATAGATTATATACCCGTCACCATGGTAATGTAGTAATCATCCCCCCTCCCAAAATATATGATATATACAGTATATCCCCCCATGTCACCATGGAAATTATAATAATTTACACACCCCCCCTTAAATATGAGGATATATAGATTGTATCCCCCCCACCATGTCACCATGGTAATATAATACTTACACACCCCCCCTTAAATATGATGATATATAGATTATATCCCCCCCACCATGTCACCATGGTAATATAATACTTTACCCCCCCCCCCTTAAATATGATATATATAGATTATATCCCCCCACCATGGTAATATGATGATGATGAGTGAACCCCCCCCTAGAACCCAGCCAATGACAGATCCAACAAACATCCCTCTAAATGTCTATGCCAGACCCCCACCCAGCACGCAGAGTCACAGTGGGGGCCCCAGACATACTCACCTATATTGGGCCCCTGTGGGGTCCCTCTGCCTGTCACTCCTGAGAATATTTCCTCTCTGCCTTACCCCTGAGATCCTCTTCTCGTCCACCCCCTTCAGTCCCGCCCCTTCCTTGATGGCACGCCTATCAGCGCGCACACCGGACAGCAGGCCGTTACCAAGACAGCTGCTTTGAGACCTACTTACGCACTACACGCACAGAGGTCACTAACGGGGGAACTACAGTTCCCGGCATGCCTGGTGTCGTGCGTCGAAGACACGCCACGCACGGTGTGCGTAAGGTATTAAAAAAACGGCAGCCTTCACTCTGAACACGTTACATGGTCTACAACAAAATGGCGACCATGATTACATGGTCTACAACAAAATGGCGACCATGGTTACACTCTGTTCCATGGCTAGCTGTAACGTGTTTCCTGTGTGCAGTGATAGATTTGGGATATTTTCTTTGACTTTAAGGCTTCATGAACACAGAGCTTAAGAAAAAAAACACTTTTAAAAGCTCTTGGCTTTTTTTTTTTTTCCCTGCCTCTAAACGCACCTCTGTGTCAGCCTATGCGTCCATGCACACACATAGGCGTTTACGGGCAGAAGAAAGAAAATCACCAAGTTCAGGAGAGGAGCCAAAGAGCAGAAAAAAACAACAACAAATGTGCGTAAATGCACCTAGCTGCGTTTAGCGCTTGAGCGTTCATTCACTCCATGGGCCAGAATGAATTAACACTCTGCCTGATGGAATCCATATATGCCCAAATGCTAAATGGGTGTGCAAAACGCAGTTTTAGGGCCAGTACACACTATATGCGGTTCACTTGCTTTTTTCTGCATCCAAAATGCACAGAAAGTAGATGATATGGTTGCCAGTGTCATAGTTATCAATGGCCATCAGTGCAGCCTATCAGTACCCATCAGTGCAGCCTATCAATGGCCATCAGTGCGCCTATCAGTACCTATCAGTGTGCCTATCAATGGCCATCAGTGCGCCTATCACTACCTGTCAGTGCAGCCTATCAGTACCCATCAGTGCAGCCTATCAATGGCCATCAGTGCACCTATCAATGGCCATCAGTGCGCCTATCAATACCCATCAGTGCAGCCTATCAGTATGGGCATCAGTGCGCCTATCAGTACCCGTCAGTGCAGCCTATCAATGGCCATCAGTGCGTCTATCAGTACTCATCAGTGCCGCCTATCAGTACCAATGAGTGCAGCCTATCAATAGCCATCAGTGCAGCCTATCAATACCCATCAGTGCGCCTATCAGTACCAATCAGTGCAGCCTATCAGTACTCATCAGTGCGCCTATCAGTACCCATCAGTGCAGCCTATCGATACCCATCAGTGCGCCTATCAGTACCCATCAGTGCAGCCTATCAATACCCATCAGTGCGCCTATCAGTACCCATCAGTGCAGCCTATCAATGGCCATCAGTGCAGCCTATCAGTGCCCATCAGTGCACCTATCAGTACCCATCAGTGCAGCCTATCAATACCCATCAGTTCGCCTATCAGTACCATCAGTGCGCCTATCAATACCCATCAGTGCACCTAACAGTGCCCATCAGTGCAGCCTATCAATGGCCATCAGTGCAGTCTATCAGTGCCCATCAGTGCAGCCTCATCAGCACACATCAGTGAAGGAGAAAAACTACTCATTTGTAAAATTTTATAACAGAAACTAAGAAAAACTTTTTTTTTTTTCAAACTTTTCGTCTTTTTTAATTTGTTTAGCAAAAAAAAAGTGGTGAATAAATACCTCCAAAAAAAGCTCTATCTGTTTTTAAAAAATGCAACAAATTTCATATGGGTACAGTGTTGCATGACTGAGTAATTGTCAGTGTAAGTAATCGTCAGCAACAGTGCTCAAACCTGAAAATTGGCCTGGGCAGGAAGGGGGTGAAAGTGCCCGGTATTGAAACGGTTAAACACCACCAAAAGAAAGCTCCATTAGTGTGAACAAATGATAAAAATGTAATTTGCGTACAGCTTTGCATGATCGCGCAATTGCCGGTTAAAGTGGCGCAGTGCTGAATAGCAAAAAAAAAAAAACAATGGCCCTAGCCATAAGGGGGTAAAATCTTCTGATTGTCAGATGTTAAAAAAAAATGAAAACAAATAAATAAATATATCTTCCCGACTATTTACTAATGCTAGCAACATAAGGATTACAAATAGTTCATGTAGATTGAGAGAGTGAAGTTCCGCTTACATAGAAAAACGATTACATGGAAAGACCCAAAGAACAATCAAGTGAATCTTTCAGCAGCTTTACGATTCTACATGAATAAATTCCACATCAAAATGTACAGCAACAGTATCTTGTTACAGAAAGGCTCCACCTGAGCGCCAGTCCAGCTGTCAGTATGCTACAGGAAGGGGAAGCATTTCCTCAGTCTTCTGTCCTCCAGGGATCACTCAGACTCAACAGTACAATCAGTCTGTATATGCTGTAAAGCATGCTTGTTATACTCACTGTGGAACCTTAATGTTCTGCATTGTGTAAAAAGGCTGTTTGATCCTGTCTTCTCTGATCCTCCCCTTCTTCAACAGTCCCCAATCCATTCAGAGGTCTAGAAGTCACTCTGATGCTCAGTTTAGTGTGTATGGCTAGAGAGTTTTTTTTTTCTTCTTTGGGAGGGTGCATGTGATCAGTACAGGGCCAATCAGCAGTGTCCAGACAGAGGGTCAGGGGTTAGGCAGCCTCATAGGACAGTCAGAGGAGAATGAAAACTCCTCCTACAAGATTAACCAGTGCTCTGCTGGACACTGATGGAAGTCACAAAACTGCTACATACTGCTGATAAGGAAAGGTATTCAGCAGTTTTTATTTACTACAATAATTGCATTTCCATGTTGTGTGTACTGTGGGAGACCAGATATAGTCAATGCAGGGTCCCCGGAGAGTGGATATAGTGAATGCAGGGTCCGGGGAGAACGGAACGGATATAGTGAATGGAGGTTCCGGGGAGAGCGGATATAGTGAATGCAGGGTCGGGGGGAGAGCGGATATAGTGAATGCAGGGTCCGGGGAGAGTGGATATAGTGAATGCAGTGTGATATAGTGGGGGAGACCAGATATAGTGAATGCAGGGTCCGGGGAGACCAGGATATAGTGAATGCAGGGTCCGGGGAGAGAGCGGATATAGTGAATGCGGGGTCCGGGGAGAGCGGATATAGTGAATGCAGGGTCCGGGGAGACCAGATATAGTGAATGCAGGGTCCGGGGAGACCAGATATAGTGAATGCAGGGTTCCGGGGAGAGCGGATATAGTGAATGCAGGGTCCGGGGAGACCAGATATAGTGAATGCAGGGTACGGGAGAGCGGATATAGTGAATGCGGGGTCCGGGGAGCGGATATAGTGAATGCAGGGTTCTGGGAGAGCGGATATAGTGGGAATGCAGGGTCCTGGGAGAGCGGATATAGTGAATGCAGGGTTCTGGGAGAGCGGATATAGTGAATGCAGGGTCCGGGGAGAGCGGATATAGTGAATGCAGGGTTTCTGGGAGAGCGGATATAGTGAATGCAGGGTCCGGGGAGAGCGGATATAGTGAATGCAGGGTCCGGGGAGACCAGATATAGTGAATGCAGGGTCCGGGGAGAGACCGGATATAGTGAATGCAGGGTCCGGGGAGAGCGGATATAGTGAATGCAGGGTCCGGGGAGACCAGATATAGTGAATGCAGGGTACGGGGGAGAGCGGATATAGTGAATGCGGGGTCCGGGGAGCGGATATAGTGAATGCAGGGTCCGGGGAGAGCGGATATAGTGAATGCAGGATCTGCGGGGAGACCGGATATAGTGAATGCAGGGTCCGGGGAGAGCAGATATAGTAAATGCAGGGTCCGGGGAGAGAGGATATAGTGAATGAATGCAGGGTCCGGGGAGACCAGATATAGTGAATGCAGGGTCCGGGGAGAGCGGATATAGTGAATGCAGGGTCCTGGGAGAGCGGATATAGTGAATGCAGGGGTCTGCGGAGACCGGATATAGTGAATGCGGGGTCCGGGGAGAGAGGATATAGTGAATACAGGGTCCGGGGGGGAGAGCGGATATAGTGAATGCAGGGTCTGGGAGAGCGGATATAGTGAATGCAGGGTCCGGGGGAGAGCGGATATAGTCCAGCGGAGAGCGGATATAGTGAATGCGGGGTCCGGGGAGAGCGGATATAGTGAATGCAGGGTCCGGGGAGAGCGATATAGTGAATACAGGGTCCGGGGAGAGCGGATATAGTGAATACAGGGTCCTGGGGAGAGCGGATATAGTGGAATGCGGGGGATATAGGATTGCGGGGCCGGGGAGAGCGGATATAGTGAATGCGGGGTCCGGGGGAGAGCGGATATAGTGAATGCGGGGTCCGGGGAGAGCGGATATAGTGAATGCAGGGTCCGGGGAGAGCGGATATAGTGAATGCAAGGGGTCCAGGGGAGAGCGGATATAGTGGAATGCGGGGTCCGGGGAGAGCGGATATAGTGAATGCAGGGTCCGGGGAGAGCGGATATAGTGGAATGCAGGGTCCGGGGAGAGCGGATATAGTGAATACAGGGTCCGGGGAGAGCGGGGAGAGCGGATATAGTGAATGCAGGGTCCGGGGAGAAGCGGATATAGTGAATGCGGGGTCCGGGGAGAGCGGATATAGTGAATGCGGGGTCCGGGGAGAGCGGATATAGTGAATGCGGGGGTCCGGGAGAGCGGATATATGGGATGCGGGTCCGGGGAGAGCGGATATAGTGAATGCGGGGTCCGGGGGAGAGCGGATATAGTGAATGCATGCGGGGTCCGGGGAGAGCGGATATAGTGAATGCAGGATCTGCGGAGACCGGATATAGTGAATGCAGGGTCCGGGGAGAGCAGATATAGTAAATGCAGGGTCCGGGGAGAGAGGATATAGTGGTGAATGCGGGGTCCAGGGGGGAGACCAGATATAGTGAATGCAGGGTCCGGGGAGAGCGGATATAGTGAATGCAGGGTCCTGGGAGAGCGGATATAGTGAATGCAGGATCTGCGGAGACCGTTATATAGTGAATGCGGGGTCTGGGGAGAGAGGATATAAGGAATGCAGGGTCCTGGGAGAGCGGATATAGTGAATGCAGGGTCCTGGGAGAGCGGATATAGTGAATGCAGGGTTCTGGGAGAGCGGATATAGTGAATGCACGGTCCAGGGAGAGCGGATATAGTGAATGCGGGGTCCGGGGAGAGCGGATATAGTGAATGCAGGGTCCGGGGAGAGCGGATATAGTGAATGCGGGGTCCGGGGAGAGAGCGGATATAGTGAATACAGGGTCCGGGGAGAGCGAATAGAGTGAATACAGGGTCTGGGGAGAGTGGATATAGTGAATACGGGGTCCTGGGAGAGCGGATATATGAATGCGGGGTCCGGGGAGAGCGGATATAGTGAATGCGGGGTCCGGGGGAGAGCGGATATAGTGAATGCAGGGTCCAGGGAGAGCGGATATATGGAATGCGGGGTCCGGGGAGAGCGGATATAGTGAATACAGGGTCCTGGGAGAGCGGATATAGTGGAATGCAGGGGTCCGGGGAGAGCGGATATAGTGAATGCGGGTCCGGGGAGAGCGGATATAGTGAATACGGGGTCCGGGGAGAGCGGATATAGTGAATGCAGGGTCCAGGGAGAGCGGATATATGGAATGCGGGGTCCGGGGAGAGCGGATATAGTGAATGCGGGGTCTGGAGTTTAGTACCATTTTGTGTTTGCCACTATAGTACAGAGTCCAGATGTGTCTTTAGCAGCCTATTCACCTTCATTCACTCGTCTGAATGAGCCCTAGTAACACTGGTATAAAGAATGATTTTTACTAGCTGGGCAATACTGGCTACATAACAACTGACAATTCCGCTTCTTGCCACAACATATTAAAGGGATCAAAATTAGAAATAATCCCAATCACTATTTTTGCAGCTTTCATTAAAATAATACAATAATAGATAATAAAATATTACCTGGTAATCCTGCCATGAAGGTGTTTGTTCAGGCACTTCCTGTTTGAAGGTAACAACGCTTTTTTTTGCTTTCCCTAGTTGCATTACTGCGTTGTCACTCTGTCACTGATGCGAACTACAAGTGCCCATTACAACACACATTGCTCAGGAATGGTCCAATGTTGTCACCATCAGAAACTCTGTCTTGAAAAATCCCATGTAGCCATCAATGGAGTGCATGCAGACAGGAAGTGGCTGCAAAGAAGGTGTAGGAGATCAGCAGGATTTTAAAAAATTGTGAAAAAAGTATTTTATTTAAAAAAGCTATTTTTATTATAATGTGCAGTGTTTTAACAAACTAAATGTCATTTGAGGTGTACGTCTGCTTTAAAACTTCCAAGCAACAATCAGCCACACTCTTGAAAAATATGTAGGTAATTCTATTTTTGTTGTAAATTGGATTATGACGACTCCTACCACCATGTTCTCTGAAAAGATGACGGGATGAGAGACAATAACACAGACATCACAGATTAGCTGAGTCACTTATCTGACAAACATGTCGAAAAACTTTACTTCGAGGCCACACCTATCTCATATGTATTCAACCCAATTCAAAGCTGGGTATAAATTTGTTTTTATATAGTGGTTGTGAACATTTCAGACGTCCATGAAACCTGCAGAGGGAAAAAAGTATTGTAGTGCCTACTATAGCATAAGTTTTTATAATATGATGTGATATTATATTGTACTATATTATATCATATATTATTTTATATCATATTATACTGTATTATATTATATTATTCCTCTCCTGTACTTGCTGCCCACTGTCATACCCTCCACACTCCTCTCCTGTACATACTGCCCCCCATCATACCCTCCACACTCCTCTCCTGTACATACTGCCCCTGTCATACCCTCCACACTCCTCTCCTGTACATACTGCCCATCACTGTCATACCCTCTACTCCTCTCCTGTACATACTGCCCCCATGATACCCTCCACACTCCTCTCCTGTACATACTGATCACTGTCATACCCTCTACACTCCTCTCCTGTACATACTGCCCACTGTCATACCCTCCACACTCCTCTCCTGTACATACTGATCCTGTCATACCCTGCACACTCCTCTCCTGTACATAGTACTGGCCCACTGTCATCATACCCTCCACACTCCTCTCCTGTACATACTGATCACTGTCATACACTCCCACATACTGCCCCCATCATACCCTCCCACACTCCTCTCCTGTACTTACTGATCAACTGTCATACCCTCCACACTCCTCTCCTGTACATACTGCCCCTCATACCCTCCACACTCCTCTCCTGTACATACTGCCCCCATCATACCCTCCACACTCCTCTCCTGTACATACGCCCCATCATTACCCTCTCACACTCCTCTCCTGCACATACTGCCCCCATCATACCCTCCACACTCCTCTCCTGCACATACTGCCCCCCTGTCATACCCTCCCCCTCCACACTCCTCTGTTCTGTAAGTCTATATACTCCTGCATAACTGCCATCTGTCACCCTCCACACTCTCTCTGTACATTACTGGCCATATCTGCCCTCCACACCTGTCATACCCCTGTCACCTCACTCCTGCTCCTGTACATATGCCCCATCATACCCTCCACACTCCTCTCCTGTACATACTGCCCCTGTCATACCCTCCACACTCCTCTCCTGTACATACTGCCCCCATCATACCCTCCACACTCCTCTCCTGTACATACTGCCCCCTGTCATACCCTCCACACTCCTCTCCTGTACATACTGCCCCATCGATACCCTCCACACTCCTTTCTCATACTGCCCCTGTCATACCCTTCACAACGCCTCTCCTGTACCTACTGCCCAATCATACCCTCCACACTCCTCTCCTGTACATACTGCCCGCCCATCATACCCTTTCACACTCCTCTCCTGTACACTGTACTGCCCCCATCATACCCTCCACACTCCTTTCCTGTACATACGCCCCCATCATACCCTCCACACTCCTCTCCTGTACATACTGTTCATCCCCTCCACACTCTCTCCTGTACATACTGCCCCCATCATACCCTCCACACTCCTCTCCTGTACATACTGCCCCGTCATACCCTCCACACTCCTCTCCTGTACATACTGCCCCCATCATACCCTCCACACTCCTCCCTGTCCTGTCATCCCCTCCACATCCTCTCCTGTACATACTGCCCCCTGTCATACCCTCCACACTCCTCTCCTGTACAAACTGCCGCCCGTCATACCCTTCTGTCTCCCTGTACATACTTGGCCCCCCCTCCACACACTCCTCTCCTGTACATACTGCCCCCTGTCATACCCTCCACACTCCTCTCCTGTACATACTGCCCCATCATACCCTCCACACTCCTCTCCCACATACTGCCCCCATCATACCCTCCACTCCTTTCATGTACATACTGCCCTCATCATACCTCTCACACCCCTCTCCTGTACTGCCCATGTCATATAATACTGCCCCCGTCTTGTACATACGACCCTTCCACACTCCTCTCCTGTACATACTGCCCCCATCATACCCTCCACACTCCTCTCCTGTACATACTGCCCCCGTCATACCCTTCCACACACTCCTCTCCTGTACATACTGCCCCTGTACATCATGCCCCCGTCCCCTCCACACTCCTCTCCTGTACATACTGCCCCATCGTACCCTCCACACTCCTCTCCTGTACATACTGCCCCCGTCATACCCTTCACACGCCTCTCCTGTACATACTGCCCCATCATACCCTCCACACTCCTCTCCTGTACATACTGCCCCCCCATCATACCCTTTCACACTCCTCATACCTGTACATACTGCCCCCATCATTACCCTCCACACTCCTTTCCTGTACATCATGCCACCTCCTCTCCTGTACATACCCTCCACACTCCTCTCCTGTACATACTGCCCCCATCATACCCTCCACACTCCTCTCCTGTACATACTGCCCCCATCATACCCTCCTCATCCTGTACATACTGCCCCATAATACCCTCCACACTCCTCTCCTGTACATACTGCCCCCATCATCCCCTCCACACACTCCTCTCCTGTACATCTCCTGTACATCCCACACTCCCCCTGTACATACTGACCCCCATACCCCACTCCTCCTCTCCTGTACATACTGCCCCCATCATACCCTCCACACTCCCATCTGTGCTCCCCCTCCACACTCCTCTCCTGTACATACTGCCCCCATCATACCTCTCCACACTCCTCTCCTGTACATACTGCCCCCATCATACCCTCCACACTCCTCTCCTCCTGTACACACTGCCCCCATCATACCCTCCACACTCCTCATACTGCCCCCATGTTCATCCCCTCCACACTCCTGTCCTGTACATACTGCCCCCGTCATACCCTCCACACTCCTCTCCTGTACATACTGCCCCCGTCATACCCTCCACACTCCTCTCCTGTACATACTGCCCCCGTCATACCCTCCACACTCCTCTCCTGTACATACTGCCCCATCGTACCCTCCACACTCCTCTCCTGTACATACGACCCCCATGTCATACCCTCCACACTCCTCTCCTGTACATACTGCCCCCATCATACCCTCCACACTTCTCCTCTCCTGTACATACTGCCCCCTGTCATACCCTCCACACTCCTCTCCTGTACATACTGCCCCCATCATACCCTCCACACTCCTCTCCTGTACATACTGCCCCCATCATACCCTCCACACTCCCTCTCCTGTACATACTGCCCATCATACCCTCCACACACCTCTCCTGTACATACTGACCCCATCATCCCTCCACACTCCTCTCCTGTACATACTGCCCCCATCATACCCTCCACACTCCTCTCCTGTACATACTGCCCATGTCATACCCTCTACCCCCTCTCCTGTACATACTGCCCGTGTCCACACTCCTCCTGTACATACTGCCCCCATCATACCCTCCACACTCCTCTCCTGTACATACTGCCCCCATCATACCCTCCACACCCTCTCCTGTACATACTGCCCCCATCATACCCTCCACACTCCTCTCCTGTACATACGCCCCCGTCATACCCTTCACACGCCTCTCCTGTACATACTGCCCCCATCGTCCCCTCCACACTCCTCTCCTGTACATACTGCCCCCGTCATACCCTTCACACGCCTCTCCTGTACATACTGCCCCCATGTCCCCTCCACACTCCTCTCCTGTACATACTGCCCCCATTATACCCTCTTAAGATTTAAAACTGCACACGCCTGTGAAATGGCGTCAAATTACGTTCCCTAAAATAGTTCCTAGGCCTTTACATGTTATCTGTATAGAGTTGATGGTGAGCTCTAGTGCTTGAAATATTGCGCTCACTGCGATGTCCACAGCGATACCTCGCACGCTCACTACACATGTGTGCTGGTTCTACATGTGTGTTCACATTTGTGTGCGAACATGAGGGGCGGGGGATTTTTTTTTTTCATTTAACTTTATTGCTATCACAGGGGGTGAATGAGACCCCCTTGTGATAGCTGTGGGCAGTGACAGATGCTCTTTATGGAGACATTGGTGGACCCCTGATGTCCCCCCTGCCCTCCAAAGCAGCTAACCAAGCACAGTTTGTGCTTGGTTAGCTGCTTCCCTCGCTGCAGTGCTGTAAAGTAGAGCCGCCCAGATCAACTTTTACAGAAAATCAATTGCCGGCTCTAAAAAACGATTCCAGGGTCATGGTATAACCGCTTGCTGTGCAGGTCGTGTATAAACGTTCGCTGGCCAGCAAGCGTTTAAACGATCTTTCTTGAAATGTTGCAAACTTTATTGGAATGTCTCAAAGTGCCATTTCATTAGGTTCTGTTGGCTGCGGCACGGTGAAAGGTGGTCGATTGCGTCGCATTGCACACCGCAATTTTTTTCGCCTTTGCAACGTGTATATAGGTTTGCAGGATGTGTACATACGTTCGCTGGACAGCAAGCGTTTAAAACGATCTTTCTTGACACGTCGCAAACTTTATTGGAATGTCACAAAGTGCCATTTCATTAGGTTCTGTTGGCCACGGCACGGTGCGAGGTGGTGGTTTGCGTCGCATTGCACACCGCACTTTTTTTAGCCTTTGCAACGTGTATATAGGTTTGAAGGATGTGTACATACGTTCGCTGGACAGCAAGCGTTTAAACGATCTTTCTTGAAACATCGCAAACTTTATTGGAATGTCACAAAGTGCCCTTTCATTAGGTTCTGTTGGCCGCGGCACGGTGCGAGGTGGTGGATTGCGTCGCACTGCACACCGCGCTTTTTTTTCGCCTTTGCAATGCAAATCAGAAAACGCAGGCATCTTCCCTCAAAGGTTCACATACATTGATATATTATGAAGAAGCGCGTTTATTTTATGTTTTACATAAACACCCCGAGCTCTGGATTTCACACTTTAATGAATACCTGGCAGCAGTTCACTTCATAAAGAACACAGTGTATCTGTAAGGGGGGCACTCTGTGTATTATACATGACACAAATTCCTTCTCCTCAGGAAAGGCGGGGAAAGGGCGATTTGCGCAGAAGCGCCGCGCGGGATCCTGGGATTTGGAGTCCATTTCGACCTTTGCGGCGTGGCCCGGCCCCCAAACGGGACTACATTTCCCAGGATTCACAAGAGGGCTGATTCTGACCAATGGACGATCGGCGTGACGTCCGAAGTCAGCGATTGGCCTGTTTGGAATGTAAGTTAATTTAAACTGGTAACGTGCGGGGAGCGGCAGAACAGCCAGCTGTGTGTCGGTAAGGAGCTCCGAGAGATAACGGAGAGGGTGAGGGGAAACCGGAGGAGGCGGGAGGGAGGTTTACGGGGAGCTGTAGCATGGTGTGGAGGCGGTTCTGAGACGGGAATGGACGGTTTAACTTGTTGCTTGGCTTAGAGTGGAAGTATAGGGAGGAATACAAGACATGGCGGACAGGATACGTTCTATTTGGAGGCGATAAGGAGGCTTTGAGAATTAAAAAAAAAATATATATATATATATATATATATATATGTAAAGAAAATAACCCCCCCAAGAAAATAAAAATATGAATTATATATTTTTCAAGGAGATATATAATTTATTTAATTTAATAAAAGATACCCAAGAAAAATATATGCAATTATTTTATATAATATATTATATATATATATATACACACATTTTTATATAATTTTTTTTCTTGAGTATAGCTTTTATTATTATTATATCTATCTCCTTGAAGTAATATATAAAATTATTTCTTTACATATATTTTTGCTATTAAATAAATGTATATTAATATATATATTTTATATTAATATATA